CATTTCCAATAATCCGCCGCCGGACCTCGCTGTGCTGCAGGCAAGCTTTCCAGCTTCCAGCAGTTACCAGGCAGGGAGCGCCGGGAAAGGTCCAGCCTGGAGCATTGGCACAACACGCTGCTTCCGTGCCAAACGCGGGGCATTTTCCTGAAGGAAGGTGCAACATGGAAAACACGTTCCCACGCACAGCTGCCTCGGGCATCTTTTGAACATGGACTGTGAGGAAGTCAACAGAGTTAGCCACAGAAGCGAGCTAAAAGCCTGGGGACGCACTCTCAGGCAGCAGCATCCTCCCTTTCCCCCCCCCCCCCCTTTTTGTGAAAGCAGCATTTTTCCTCCCTGGGAGCAGCCGTGGCAGAGGGAGGGTACGCAAATACGCTGACTCTAAACAATGACTGCTCGAAACTACCGAGTTTGTGGTTTATTTACTGCAATCCCGACTCCACCCTGACCGTAAAGCCAAGGGGAGGAAAGAGCTCAGGACCTGCAGCCCCCTCTGCCCCCGCGTTCCTCGGCACCGCGGGGGCTGGCCGTAGCCCCCTGCCACGGGACAACCCCCCTGAGGCTGCAGGGGCCAACCCGGGTCTTAATGAAGTTCGTGGTAGCTGCAATGAGCAAACACATTTGCAGGGGACAGCAGGACACTATTTACTGCACGTTTAAGCCCCGTCCGTCCCCACTGCGCAGTCTGAGCCCACCCTGCCTGGTGGCAGAGCGCTTCCAGTGAGGTCACAGAAACACGGGGCTTTGCCGCCTTTCCCCGCGTCGCAGCGCTCCGTGCCCACGGAAGCAGTAGCAGCTCAGAGGGACACGACCCACCCCTCTCCCCCCCTCCGCTCGGCGGCTCGAGACCTTCCTGGCACTGCCTGAGGCGCCCCGGCCTGCCAGCACCCTCCGGGCACACGCTGCTATTTCGAATGGCTTTTTCCCGGCGCTGCAGCGTGGCGGCACGGTTAGGCTCTCAGCTCCGCCGGAGTATTTCTGCTCTCGGCTGCTGTGTCAGGTTTTCCTCACCACCAGGGAGTGTAAATGTGTCTTCACAGGCATTTCTGAGAGACCCTGGAAACCTCGCCATAAATCAGCAGGAGGTAATGCCGCTCTTTAGTGCTTTGTGGATAATGTATTTTGACATCAAGGTAATGAGACAGAGGTTTGACTCCGAGCTCCACGTTTTCCGCGGCGGGTCCAGGCCGGGGGGGGCTGAGCCGCCCTTGGGGCTGGTGAGGAACACCCGTCGCTGCCGGGCGCCAGCTCCGCCGTGCCCAGCGCGGTGCTGGATGGGGCTCAGACACCGCCGGGCCGGCCCCGCGCTCAGCGCCCTGGCCAGCACGCCTCCCGCTTGAAAAGCAGGGACAGCCCTAGTCCAGCCCTTTTCCTTTTTGGAGTCCCTTACTGCAGAGTCCCCTTCGCGAAATGGGGTGTCCCCGTGCGCGATGGGGTGGCACGCTCCCCTCCTCTGCGGGCTTTAGGGCTTCCTCCCCACGCTACGGCCTCGTGCTCTCTCGGCCTTTGGGGTTCAGACAGCAGCGGGCAGCTGCTCCTGGTGCAACCTCTGAGCCCGGGGGGGACAAAAGGCCGGGCGTCCCACAGATGATCCATTTCCAGATGACCCCTCTCCGGGCAGTCGGGTGGATGCCGGCCAGCCAGGCCAACGGATCAAATTAAATAACCTTTTCCTGGCACTTACAGGTGAGCGCAGCTCTAGCAGGAAAACAAGATTCGAGACCTGGTGCAAATTCACAAATCCCCGCGCTCCGTGTGCAAGAGCAGAACTTGCCCGTGAGGGCTTGAAAACGATGAGTGGCAAAGAAACCGCTCGCCCAGCACGCCGCGGGCGGCATCGCGGGCGGGCGAGTGCTCGTCACAGAGGATGAAAGGCACGGCCCCGGCGGCGGTGTGACCCAGCCGGGAGGGCCGAAGCCGTGGCAGCCTCGGAGCAGCCCGCGCCGAGCGCGGAGGTGCCAGGACCTGGATGCCAGCCCCGGGGAAAGCAGCAGATGGGGGGAGCAGGGGGGGGACGCGGCCGCCTCCTCGGACCCTGCAGAGGCGCTCGCAGCCCGAACGGCGGCTGGGGTCCGAGGGGTCGCCGCAGGGCCGGGGGGAGCACAGCTCGGCTGCTGCTCCAGGACACGAGCGCTCATCCTCCCGCAGCCGAAACCCCTACGAAGCGACCTTGCTGCCAAGACAATCCTTTAACTTCCCAGGATGAGTTCAGGGAAAACTGGCGGGGCGCAGCCTCCTGCCCCATCCTCCGGGCACCGGTCCCAGCGGGCTCCGGGGCCCGCAGCGGGGTGAGCGGCTTCCCCCGAGGTCCCGACCCCCCAGACAAATCTCAGCAGAAACCAGCAGGATTCAAATAGAGGTGACAACTTCGGCCAGGCTTCCTCAGCCAAAACTCCATTCAAATGCAAAAGGGCAAAGCTGCTGCCTGAAACGCCAGAGGGAAGACAGGAAATCAAATCACCACTCTCCCTCATTCTCCCCATCTTCCACCCATCCAGCTCTCCCCCCCATCACAACCTGGAAACGAGAGCTCACTAATGCATCAGCTTAAGTATACAACAACTCTCATCACCGTTCTAGAAAATAATCAATCGAGCACTTAATTTTTACGTAAGAAATAAGCCGCCTAGAGACTGTTAATAGATAACCGAATAAATTAACAATCACAGGCGGGATTCAAAACTAGCGCTCATCTTTTATTCGGCGCCTCCTTGAGCCCGCTTTTACAGAAAGCACACAAACCCCCCCGTTTTCACAAAAAGCAGACCGACACTCAACTCCCCCCCCCCCCCCCCCTCCAGGTGCGTAGCTGGGCCTCGGCACGAGGAAACCACACGGCACGCAGCGGCGCACGTCGGATCGCCTGCGGGGCCGCTCGGCTTGCCCCCGCCGCGGCCAGCTCAGGTGTAGCTCGAGGACCAGTTTCACGGACACTGGAGTTTGTTGCCCCAGGTGGGAAGTCGGGGAGGTGAGGGCAGCGTGGAATTAGCACGTCCAGCCCCGCAGTAACTGCGGGAAGGTGATGTAGGCAGACGCTTCTGCGTGAGCAGAATAAGCAGCTCTGGCTAGCGGGGACATCCGTTTTGAAAACCGCGCGTAAATACCCACATCAAGGCTGCTGCTCACAGAGCTTCGTTAGTGAACCCTGCCCCTGGCGGAGAGCCGAAATGCCGTTATTTCCCCCCAAAACCGCAGGGGCTGACGCGGCGTGGCGGGTTCAGGCGGTGGTCTCGCCTCGGCGGCCAGCGCACACCCGCGCTCCCGCGGAGAGGGGACACCAAACGCCGGCACGAAGGGCTCTTACCAAAGACACACCGCTCGGTTTTTTCTTCTGAAAAATTTAATAGAAATTCCGCTTTCATGGCAAACGATACACAGTAAGATTATACAAATTTTTTGTGTTACATTAAATGGAAGTCCTTGTCCAATCTCAAATACATATGTTGGACTAAAAGCAAGTATTTGTACACATCCGGCATTAAAAAAATAAAAGGAGTTTCTCTCTCTCTTGCACCTTACACTTCACACCGATTTCCAGCTCTCTGGGTGTGGTAGGAAGGGGAAAACAAAGCGAGCTTTTAGATATTCTTCGGAAAATCCCAGCCCCGCTGAATTCTCCAGGGGGAGCAGCAGGTTAGCTCACAGGCACTGTCCCCACACCTTTTAATATTACAGCACCACTTTTGGAAGCGATCACATTTTCTAAAATGCAGCCAGTAATCAGGGAGATTGTATAAACCCCAAAAGAGAAAAACCTCAAACGGATCAAGGAAAGGAAGGAGCGAAGCGGCGAAGTTAAATCAGAACAACCTAGTCCCGAGCAAATTCTCCGAACCATCCCATTTGCGACCGGCTCCACCTCCCAGCTCCCTCAGGACAGGCAGGGCTCGGTTCCCGAGCCCTCCGTCTCACCCAGCACCCCCGGGCCAGAGCTGGGCGGCACTGGGTGGGCTGGGGGGAGGCTTCGCCCCCAGCAGCCCGGGCTCGGGGACGGCGATGCGGCCCCAGCGCCGCTGCGGTCCAGCCCGAGGACCCGGCTCTTACCACCACGTCTCGGGACACGCCGCCTCAGCTCGCTTCCAGCTGGCTGCTTTTTGCCCGGGCATACGTGAAGTGATAACTGCACCACGAGTGTAACTGATGAGGAAAAGAATCAAACTAGATTATTATCCGAGGACTAGAGTCTCCCAGGTGCTGACACTTCCACGCGCTCAGATCGAGTCAACCAGAGCGGAAAGTGCTCAGGATCCGATGAGACTGCGTCCGGAGTCAGTAGCACCAACTGTTTCAGACCTGCCGGGGGGGCAAGCCGAAAGCACGCCTGCGGGGTTAAGGGTGCCCCCTCCCACGCGCAGCGCTCCACGCCCCGGCAGAGCTGAAGAAGGCACGTCAAGGGACGCGGGACTGCTCTCTCCTCACCCGGGACACGGGCAGTGAGCGCCCTGCCCCGGGCCGGCTCGGGGGCAGCGACGGAGCCGGGCTCGTCCGGCCTGCTTTGAGAGATTCACACGTTTTCAGAAACACGCATTAAAACGACCCTCTGACCATAAATAGGACCTAGGAGAGCAGCTCAGATGTCAGCGTGCAGGTTGGAAGCATCTAAAGTAAGGTCCGATGAATTCCGCTGTTCGTTAGCATAGTCAGAAACGCTCCCACACAGAAACGAAAAGATTTCAACGGCAGCAGAATTCCCACTGTTATCAGTCTCACTGTTAGCTTGATTTCTCTTAAAAACATTATATGCAGAGCTGCTAGCTGAACTTGCTCAGGTGGTTTTTCGACAGGCTTTGGATGCTGTACTAAGACAAAATAATGTGTGGTAAATAGCAGAACAGAGTGGTATTACGTGATCTGTTCGGCAAAATGAAGAGCCCCACCAACTCTGTGAGGCCAAATCCATCTGCTAAAAGCTAGAAAATTAAGTGATTTCTACATTATGGTCTAACAGCAGCAATAGGCTTAGTAATTATCTCACTTGTGGTTAGCATACTAAAAAGTGAATTTTAAATACCTTTTATTACTGGGGACAAACACAATGCCTCAAAATTAGCACCAGCTAATATTCTCAGTACTCTCTCCAGGGCAGAAATAAGAAGCCAACCTGTATTTATAGTCTCGTGATGTTCATTAGAAGTTAATCTTCACTTTCTGGCTTCAGCCACACTTTTAAATGTGCCGGTCACAATCTGGATCGGGAGGTCAGCATACCCTCCAGCTGCTGGGAAAGAGGCATACGTTGGAAGATCTTACAGACCGGATTGTCTTCCACTGACCCCCAAGTGTCAAGCAGAGGAACGGGAACGGAGAAAGTTCTTTGTCCAACGAGAGACGTAAGGCCAGCGTTCCCTTCCCGGGCATACCGCAGACATTTTTATGCTTTTGACACGGATTCAAAGCTTTTCCTCGACAATTTCAGCCGTGCGAAAGCCCTACCTCCTCCACCCGAGCAAGGGCAGGCATCAGCTTTGCGCTCCCTTCTCCCGCCAAGGCAGCGCTCAGCGCCCCGGCGCGGCGCAAGGGCGGGAGGAGCGAGGCCCCGGCTGCCGGCCCCCGCGCAACGGGCACGGCACCAGGGGTCAGGGCAGACTAACGCCCCGCCGGCGGTCGGGGCACCGCAGGGCTCCCGCCTGCCCCCCCGGCAGCCGCCGCAGGGGGGGGAGCCCACCCGCCGGGCCCCAGCGCGGCTCTGCGGGAGGATTCGCATCGCCCCGCGGCGCAACGTGGCCCACCGGCTGCTCGGCACAGCACCCACTCGGGCCTTTAGTACCCCGCGTTCGAGTCTCGCCACACAAAACAGAACGAGGTAAACCCCTGTTTTGCCCACAGGGGCTTATTTTCTTTTTAAGCAACCCTGTCCTTGAAAAGACCGGAGGTTCGTGCCTCCCAACTGCGTGAGCAAGCACGGCCGAGCAGCACGGCACCTGCTTCCCAAACATGACAATTAGCTGAATCATCAACGTACAGAAAACCACCTGCGCCGCCGAAGTACTGGCGGCGCAGTGCTGGTTACCCAGGGTGAGCACTCAGAGCCATGAAGTTGGCAGCGAGAGTGACAGGTGTATGGCTCAGCCCCACAGAACGCCGGCACAGCTCTGCTCCCCCCTCGGCCCACCCCGGAGCAGGGGGCCCTGGGCCGCAGGGCCGCTGACCCCTGAGCGGCTCCAGGCGCCGAGCCCGGGCGTGCTGCGTGGTGGCCAGCCCTGCGGGAAAGCCCCCTCCTACCCCCAGGACTGACCCAGACACCGGTGCTGACTGTGAGGAACCCGAGAAGGTTTTTCGCTCTTCAAAACTACCACAACCCTGGGGGGGGGGGGGGGGTGGCTTCAGCGGTCCCGGTGCACCCCAGCGCCTGCCAAAACAAGCAACACGCCTGGCTGGGCTCCCAGGGCGTGCTCCTGGCTCACCGTCAGTGCCAGACAAAGTGCGGCTTTCGAGAAAGGTGTGCGCAAGCACACGGCTGCCAGCCTGCAGGGCTGCAATGGGAATCGCCCCTGACTTACCACCTCAGTTTTAAACAACAACCTCAATTAAGGTAGATCAGTTATACCTATGGAACCCCACAGGTATCCCACAAAAACCACAGCGCTGTGGCACAGTAGAAAGCACAGAGGCGATCTATAAACCTGCTGGAGAGCAAGCCTGACTCCCTAAGTTTACTTAACCAGAGAAAGCCCTTTTTAAGAATAACTTTAAAAAGCCATTTTGCCTGAAAGATAAGCCAACATTTTCCACACATGCTGCTGACAGCTGCTAGATTTGAAACACACGCAGTTTGTTTCAGTTGAGCATGTTCTTCAGCATGGCCCAAGCAGGCTTATTCATTTTATGCTCTTCAAGTGCAGAGGCTTTCCTGCAGAGAAGAGTGTTTCTTCTAGAAAATGTAAACAAATCTTGTGCGTTCTACTATCCCACCTAAGCTTTCGCCAGAAGTTTCTGGCAGGAGAAAAAAAAAAAAAAAACCAAACAAACAAAAAACCCCAAACCAAAACAAAGCCTTAACTTTATGTTCTAAACCCCACGTTATTTAAAAAGCATTAGAAATCACTTGGTCTTCAAACCCATCTCAAAAATCACTCTCCGAAGAGACAATCGGTGACTGTGCCGGTTATGCTGTGCCTCAAGCAGAAACAAAACAAGTCATTGTAGGCATGACCTGGAAAGCTGAAATTAATGCACTCACGAGAAAACTGCATACAAATAAAATCCCTGCAGAGGAGATAGAAGCTAACTGGTAGAAGAGTTTTTGTAAGTTTTTCAGTGCATACTTACGGGCTCCCGCTAAATCCCATCAGAATGGGATGAAAAGAGATCTCTTCACATCTCCCCGGGTAAATGCCCTTATTTCCCTACTTCTCAAAGAAAGAAACCAAAATCGAAAAGGGAGCGCCGCGGCTCCCCTGGCAGTTGTTGGGGGGCGAAGGCGGCGCTGGGAGCGCCGGCCTGGGAGGAGGGGGCCGGCGGGGGGAGCCTGGCCGGGCGGCCCCCAGCCCGCTGCCGCCGTCACAGCGGCGCCTGCTCGCTGAAGAAGGCTTTCGTCTGCCTGCACACCGGGTTTGCACAGAGCGGGCAGCAGAGGGTTAACTGCCTCGAGCAGATCTCCTTGGACTGGATGTGCGAACAGACCAAGTCTGCCAGGGCCTGGAAGACAGTTAATTAAAAAAAAAAAAAAAAAAAAATATCAGAGGGGCGCACCGAAGAAATGCTTTCGAGGCTGCCGCTCCGCGCACCCGTCCCAGCGCACTTTGCAAGCCCCACCCTCCCTCACCTCAGGGGAAAGTCCTGCTTTAAGACTGCACCCGCATAATATCTTAGGAGAAATATTTCATCAAAAGATTCCTATACATTAATACCAAACCGTTGTTTCTTTTTTGTCAAACCAAGCTTCTGAACTCTTTTTTAAGGAAAAAAGAAAACCCTCAAAGTGTGGTAAAAGAAAACACTTTGTGGTATACAGACTAAGCACGGGGGCCTCCGTTTTCGCTCTTAAAATACTTTAGAACTACAAGAAGACACCCGTTATCTAGTAGGAAACACACAACTGCAAACTTCTACAACTACTGCAACAAAGAAGATACCTTGGAGAACAGCGGGTTTCCGTTAAGAGACTCTGCTCTTCTGATATTTTCCACTCCACACTGAATCAAAAATAAGGAGAAAAGAAGTTAAGTCTGCTAGACCCTTCACTAGTTAGCCTTCAAAATGATCTGCCCTTCTGCTTCATTCAGCAGTCGCCCCAAAACGACAGAATTAAACGCAACAGCGCGTTTTCCAATGCAGCAAAAATAACCATGATGCAAAATGTCACTTTGCTGCCCAAACTCAACGGTTCTTTTTTAGTAAGGACAGTAGTGGCTTAAACAGTTAAATCTAGAAAGACAAATTCCCACCTGCTTTGTGTTGCTAAAATGTCATTCAAATTAAGCCAGTTCAGATTAACTTTCCATTTACAGAAAAATTAAATTTGCCCCAAATCATGTTGCAAAAAACAACTACAAAGCAAATTTCAGGACAGGAAAAGTAATTTCGGAGCACCACTATCCAAACAGTTATAAAAACTGTAAAACATTTACCTCGTTTGCTAAAATTTGGGCATACTCAATATCCAGTTCATACAGTGTTTCAATGTGGTCGCTTGTAAACGCTATTGGCACCAACAGCATGTTCTTCTTTCCTCTTTGGCACAGTCCTTTAATGGTCTCATCTGTCTGTGGACCAAGCCAAGGCATTGGCCCAACCTGTAAGAAAAAGGGGAGGGAAATTAAAAAATAAATAAATAAAATTAAAAAAAACCCTCATTAAATCATTCTTACAAAGAACGCTTGCGTTTTCTTAAGTAGCACGACACAGACCAGATTATGGTTAAGGGGGAGCCAGCTACTTGTATCTCCCTGCTTTTGCTAGTGCCTGTCACCTTCTCCAATAATTTTTTTTATGAAGACATACTGTCCCGCCATTTAAATCCCAAAGAAACAGAACCTGGGCTGGCCTAAATGAGACGCACTGACGTGAATGAAAATTTAAATAAAGCTCCACTGTTTTCAGTTCAATAAACCCCTGATCACTTCTGCACAGGATTTACCTGCCTTTTACAGAAGTTACCATTCTGTAGCAAACCGTCCTTACCCCTCTAACTTCCACGCAGTATTCGGTGCCGATGTACCATAATATGCAGCTTTAAGAACCAGACAACGATGGCATAATAGGTGTGATGCCCCTGAGACATAAAGCTGCTTGTACCACATAATTCTGGATAAAAAGTTTTGCTCCTTGCTATTTGCAGTAATAAGTACAAGGTAACGCAAGCAGCCTTCATCAAGAATAATGAAGACTGGATTGTCATTATTAAGAATGCCTGTATGACAGCGATGACTTCAGAAAAATTGCTCAGAGATCCTCAGAAAGCAACCCCTTAAAAATCCAGTGCGTGCTCAATGCTTCCTCCTAACAGAGGGAGATCAACGCCAAACTAGGTGTTCTGAGATCGTAGGTTTTCTAATGGATACATCAAAAATCTACTTTAAAAAGATACGGTATACAGAAAGGTGAGAAACGTGGCTAAAGAGCATCTGGAATGACTGAACTTGAGTACAAGGCGGAGATTCTGTCCTAGCAGAAACACCTGCTGAAAATGGGGAAAGGCACTGAGGCCATGATCTTCCCGAGCCGGGAGGGCAGAGCCCCCAGCGCGCGAAGAGCTGCGGAGGGGCAGGTGGCCCCGCACCTCCCCGAGCACGCACCTTGGACTGCCACACCAGCCGGTAAGGGTTGGAGTAGTTCAGCTTCTCCATGACTCTCTGGACAGTAGCTCCCACTTCCTGAGGATACGGATCACCACGGTTCACGACCTTCAACACAGCAAGACCAGACCTTTTCCTTCCAGTGAAGGAGTTTGGGCAAAGCCCACCCAAAGCCTGGGGAAGGTGAGCACGCTGCCCGCGGGACGGGCTGTATCAAGCGCCCGGCTCATCCAAAGCAGGGGAGAAAAACTGCACCAGCAAAACCCGTGAGCGGCTGTTGTGGTGAAGCAGCTTCACGCTCCCCCCTCCTCGTCATGAAAGAGAAATTCTGCTACCAACACGTGTAGGTACTTTCAGTAACAGCACTGCCCTTCTGCAAAATTACCCGAGAGCTGTTTCACTGCAGGCGCTGGTTGCTGGCAGAGGATTAAGTCATTTATGGCAAGCTTGCAAGGATTTTCCTCTCGCTCCCCCACCTCCACGTTGCTGTTTCGTGCCTGCCCCGCGCCCCCGCCGGCGTGGCCTGCACGCCTCCCGCGCGGGCCCGCCAGCGGCACCCTGGTCAAACAGCGGCAGCAACGACCCGACACAACTCACAGACATGGGCAGCGAGTGAGCCGAGAAGAGGATGACAACATCTTTCCTTTTGTCGGGTGGAAAGAGGTTCAGCTCCTTCTGTATGTGATCCGTGAAGCACTGTTGGGAGAAAGGGGAAAAAACAAAAAGCGGAGAGCTGAATCAGAAGCACTGAGAGGCACTGTGTGCTCTCAGAGGAGCCACGACAGGCAGCTGCAGGGCTCCAGGTTGCCGTACGAACTTCAGAATTCCCCTTTGGGTATGCACGGGGCAAGAGAGAGAGGCGGCAAGTAGGACACAGCCTCACCCCCCGTGAACTTTTCATCATCCCAGAGGTTTTAAGATGCAGAGGCGTGAAACATCTCTGTCTGCATGGTCTTCTCTCTTAGATATTTTACAGTAAAAACCAGATCAGAAACGTTAAATGTCATTTCCATCTCAACTTTAAAATCAGGGGCTGAGCCAATCGTACTCAGTTACAGCCTCCCCGGACTTAAGGACATGTACATTGGTGAGCTTATTTAACAATAAATAAATAAATAAAATGGGTTATATGTACTGTGTCTAATGGAAATCATCTTACAGGTTCCCTGAAGGTATGCAAGGTTCCTAAGTTTTGCTGAGGTGTTTCTTTGAAGGCAAGGAGAATACAAACTGAAGGCACGGAGAGTGCATAGCAACAACGTCACGTCCCAGGGGAGCATCAGGGGAGTGTGACACCGTGCCTTCCTTCTGCCAGTCATTTTTATCACCACAAAAACTGCGAACCCCAAACTAGAGGAGAAACTCCCCAGCAAAACCAAAAAAGCCATTCTCTCTGAAAAGGAAGGAGCAAGAAGGTTTCCTTTAACTGCTGCTCCACAGCCAGCGCTGTGCCTAGAATTCTCTCTCTGCTGCCGGGTGAGAATCTGCCAAACCGACACGATCGGTACGTGCGCCGACAACAGAGCTGCTCTGAGCAGGAGCTGGGACGGGTGAGCTCTAGAGGTTCCTTCCAGCCCCCACGCTGTGGCAACACAACTGTGCTTTTCAGACAAGGTGTGCACGATGGGCACCCTCGCACAGTGCCGTGCCGAAACACCGAACACCCTCCTCATGTCATCTCATCCGTAGCAGACAAGACACGTTTCATTATTGTAACTAAAATATACCCTCAAACGGAAGGGTTCCTGCTCTTCTTCTCAAGTTTGGTTTGCTTTTTAGGAAATATATATAAACGCAGCCTAAATGAGCAAATAGGTTCATCTTCTTCTAGAACATTCTATAGCTACAAGTCTTGCAAGCTTTGTTAGGAGCTAACACTTGATCTAAGTGAAGTGTTTCCTCAGAATATTCCCGTTGCTTAACATTATACTGTGTTTTGACTGGTAGCAAATATTTCTAAAAAGGCAACTCAATCCACATCTGTATTTATGTAGTTCTTTATTGTTTCAAAGTCAGCTGGCAGTGCAAAGAAACCAAGCTTCGCCTACCTCAACCAAGCTAAGGAAGCCCCAGGGAATGCCCATCTGGCAACGTACCAGAGGGGCTCGGTTCACACCTCTCGCTGTGACTGCTCTCACACGTATCCGTACCTGAATAAGAAGGGGATGTGTGGGCCATCGGTCAATTATACTCCACTTCATCTTCGGCTTCTCCCCTTTTTTATTATAGTAGCGATAGATGGCATTTAAACTGCTTCCTGAAATACAGAGAATTAAGAACGTAAGTTCAGCCAAGGCATTAGCAACCTGTCAGATTAAAAGAGTTTTGTAGCAAGGTGCTACGGTATTTTTAAATGCTACACATTTAAAATGCAACCGTAAATCAGAACAGAAAACCCCAAATAGGAACGATTATAACCAAGTTCATACGACATACCAATTGTATCAGAGCTCACACAACATACCAATTCTATCCCAGTTCGTACAGTGTACAAGCCAAGAACAATTTGCTAAACCACTAGCTGAAGAGTTATTGCTCTAGTTTCCACGAAGAAAGCTTACTCAGTTGTGCTCCCGAGCCTTCACTTGACGTCACCTCTCAGTGACAATGGTAACGTGGAGCTGTTCCCGAGTTTAAACTGCCTGAAATTCTCTTAATTTCTGCCTGATATCCGGGACTCTGTTAGATACCGAGGCCCCGTCCCCGCGCCCTGCGGGCGCTCACCTGTGGTGGAGCAACTGTACTGGGGGTACTGCGTGAAAGCGATGGCCCTGTCGATGCCGTCTTTCTCCATCTCTTCGATTGCTTCTTCCGTCAGAGGATGGACGTACCGGAAGCCGATGTAGTATTTGTGAGGCGCTGCCAGCCAAAGCACAGGAAAAGAAATTGCAGAAGAAACCCAGCAGCTCTCAGTAACACATCATTGGCAAGTACAAAGTACAGAACCAGGCAGACCGAAACTGCTGATAATGTTCTGGCTGCTGGCAATAATAAACCTGTTGATAATGTTCTGGCTGTTGGTAATAATAAACCTGTTGATAATTTCCTGGCTGCTTTTCTAAACCACTGCCATATAAACACATCTTTCTTCGGCCAAGCATTTTTCTGGTAACTCACTTTGCTGTTATTAGGACTGAAAGGTGATTTATGCTATTGTTTGCTTTTGCAGGAAGCATCGCTCTTCTGCTTTTGCTTAGTTTAGCGGAGGCGTGGGTTCCAGACTGTACAGAGCTCTGACATTTTACTGGGCAAGTTCTGATTTAAAGGACGTATTGGTGAAAACATGTCACTGTGAGCTGCTCAATGAACACTACCATGCACTGACACAGGCCACAAATGCAGACGTGCTATGGGCTTCCTAGCAGCACAGCTCACCTCGCTTACTGCAACCCAAAGGCGGATGTTTTAAATACACCAATGCAATTAAAGTGATAAAACCTTCGGAAAGATCAGGCTTTCTTCATTCTGACATACAAAAGGAAACACGTAGCTTAAGCAGTTTGCACACTCCAGGAAATTTTGTTTACCTAAACTTTCAAACATAATCGGGCTGCAATTTACTGTGCCAGCACGGAGATATTCTGCTCTACAGGGACCAGCTTCAAACAGGAAAAGGCCCCGCACCTTACAGACGCTATGCCCACGCGGCATTTCAAGCAAACCAGGTAATTTTGCCCCTTTCGTGCTCCAGGTGCCACTAGTGAAGTCACCAAGCAGGACGCCTTCAGTGCACGACGGATTCGTGCGCCCCCGCGGGATGGGGCCCTCGGTCCCCGCGCTGCAGGGCGCTGGGCCACAATCCCCAGGTACCCCCGCTGCTCCTCACCCCCCCGCCCTGCCCTCCAACTCCTGCTTCGGCAAACACCCAGCTCCCTCGCCCTTCTCTCGCCCACTCTGCCTTTCCCTTCATCATTCATGCGGATGCAATTCTGTTTCACTTCTTTCCACTTCCTTGCCACTTAACCACGTTAAGAAATAAAGCTAAAAACAAGACAAGGAGATGCCTTCCCCCCCCTGGGAAATCTGCTCCCTTTGCACATAAACCCCCAAGCACCAGGACTCTTGTTTGGGGTGGGAGATCAGTGGTACTGAATAAGAGACACATGTCCTTTCAGTCTGGTTTCTGGGTGTTTTTCGTAAAAATCTTCATGTCTTTAAACATTTTATTTTGGAGGCAATATTATTCTCTCCAAGGACAACATCTTCAGTGTTTCCATTTTCCGTCTCTAATCTTTTGGGCATCGGCTTCAGGGTTTGGGAAGTATGGTTTGGTTAGGGGGAGGGAGGAAGAGGAGGTTTGCCATTTTTTTTTTTTTTTTAAGCATAAGACAGAGGTTCTTAGGAGAACAAAAGCAAAGTTTCTTTGTCAGGGTTTCCGGGTCACTAGCTCTGAAATAACATTTAACAGGTTTCTGAAGGAAGCAGATGTCCCAAGCCTGGGGTCCACTCCATACATTTATGCAGGATTCAGAAAACAGGTTTAGTCAGCCCCAGCTCTCTGCAGGAGGCAAGAGAGCTCCCAGCTGGGAGCAGCAGCAAATAATGACCCAACTTCAGGAGCCAGTAACCTCATTAACATTTTAAAATGGCATTAAAAACAAAACTCTGACTAACCAGAGCAAAGACAGTAGGAGCTTAACCTGGGCAAGGACATACTGGGAAAAATCATGGCCAACCTGGAAAGTTGTTGCAATAGTCTCGCAGTATTACACTTTGTCCTGGATCCCAGGCAGCAAAGGAGAGATTTTCGGGTCTGGATACATACTCGTTTTGTTGTTACAGTTAGTCAGGACTACTGGAAATGGAGTGACATCTCCTTCCAGGAGGAGCTGCCTATCGAAAGAAACAGCGTGCCCCCCGCCCCATCCTGTGAGCTTTCATTCTGCTGACAAGGGAATCGCAGCTAAAATACAGCTTGTAAGAAACTCTGAGAACCGACATAATTAAAAACAATTTAAAAAGCAAGATGTGCCTTCTTAAAGTATAATTGCCATTGCAAGACATTAGCCTCTTTGAGGACAGCACTAAAAAAACCCAACAAAAGAAACGGATTTTCCTATCACCATGCTTGTGTGCCTTATTCTCACAGACTACTGAGCCTACCTAACCCCACATTCAGAGGGAAGAACTCTTGTTCATTTTCAGACAGCTGCCTGTAACAATAAAGCTTCCTTTTCAAATTAGATTGTTCCCAGATGACGTGGGTGAGGCTGTCTATTAACTGCTTTATATTAGTTAGTCCCGTTGCCAAAGTGTCACATGCCAAATGTACAGTACAAATCGGTAAACCAGCAGATTGATTGATTTACAGAGGGGGGGGAATTTCACAGGCGGTGATTGATACCGCCTAACACGAGCTCTTCCCCACCTGCAAATACACAGCAACTCTAAATTCTATGCCCCAAAAGTCCAGATGAAGGTGAAATGAGCATGGAAAGTATTCCTTCTTTGCCATGTGTCTCACGTGTGCTCACCACAACCCGCGGTTACTCATGACCAGGGCTCAGTGCTCCCCAGGTGCCACCCGTGAGCAGGCGGTACCCCAAAGCCCGTAGCTCAGCCTGGCAGCACAGCCAACTGCTTCAGGCTACTCTGAAGCATCACAGTGCTGGGTGTCGCTGCAAGGTGACTTGAAATGCTTAAGGAAATGGTTCACACTCAATTCAGTTGTTAGCAATGGTTAGCACGTTCCATTTATAAAACTGCAGCTACTGTTAGGTAAAAAAAAACGAGGTCTCTAAACAGCTTATCAGGTCTGGGACTGCACAGAGGCGGGTGTGACTGCACAGAAAAAGTGGTCACCAAACAAAAGCAAGCAGGAGTGGTACACTGCAAAAAGCAGATAAACTTTCTGAGCTTTATCTTCAGCACCTGTCGCGAGCCTGACCCTCAGGGGCTACTGCTGCTAAAAACACTGCTGCCTGGCCTGCCAAAACCCTGGGGCAGCTTCAGCTTCTGGCTTTGACTATACTTGCAGGGACCACAGCTGGAATTAAGCTAGAGTAGCATCTGTGAAATAAAGGGTTGAACACCACCCAAAGGAACGTATCAGTGACATGTCACATGCTGAACAAAGTCAATAAATTTCGTTCTAGCCTTCCAAGAGCGTTACTTTCCACCTTCCACAGCCACTTACCACTCTTCTGCCTCCAGCCCGTTTCTACTCTAGCCTGAAGCAGGTGCCACAAAGAACTACAAAACAGCTAGGCATCAAATAACACCTACTGTCAACCAGGGAAGGGGATTCCCTGACACACCAGCACCACATCAGCAAAGGTCACGGGAACTGAAGGCAGAAGGTGGCTTGCAGCACCACACTCTGTAAAGCCGCTGAGCTGAACAGAAGGGAGAGCTCTCCTCTTTGGCCTCTCTTACTCCAGCAGTTTTTCTGTTAAAAATGTTTAGTGTTCCTCTTGAAGTGGCAGGATGAGAAGTATTATCTGTAGCTAACACATCGGTGAGGAATTCAGCGGGCAGCTTAGCGATCTCGTTAGTTCCCTCTACTCACAAAGGCAGTCTGCTGCTTCAAGAACAAAAAGCATAACGCAGAGAAATGCCTCATCAGAACAAAGGTGACCCCCAGACAGGTCATTTCAGACAGACCAACCATCACGTTACTGCTTCTCCTTCCTTTTGTCGAAGTCAGTGGTGATTCACTGCCTTTTTCCACCTGTCCCACAAGAGGCAAGACACAGACACCCTTGAACAAATGTGGAAGTTTAATTTCTAGTGCTGCCACTCACGTTTATTAACGCCATGGGTTTAAGGTCACACAGCAAGAAAGTGCAGCATAAAAGGTACTGTAAGCAAATGACCTATCCCCTTCGGCAACCAGCCAAAGACAGCCAGCCTTCTAGTTCATCACAGTGGCTAACTGAGCAACAATACAAGCTGAAGTCAAATTCAGCTAACAACCAATCTGAAAGTAGGTTAGCTAAGCTAGTGCAAATTCCACCGTGAATGCACTTAACCTGGGTAAAACCCGACTCATGCACCAGTTTGGTTGGAGGTCTTAGGAGAGACTGACCATGGCTGAACCCCAGGAAATCAGCATTCTGCAAATGGCTGCAGGTGTCTGCGTTTGCACACCTTGCCCGCTGCAGCGTGTTGGCTGAAGCCCCCGGTAAAAGGACATTCACAGAAGCATTTGCACCCGTTCCCCATCGCACTAGCGCTGCCAGGTAGCTGGGCACGGGGCAATCCACACAAGCTACAGCTCCTGGCTGTGAGAGAGCTCGGTTCAGAGAGATTCTGTTATCTGCAGAGAGGGGAGGGAGGCTGTATTCACCTTGCAAGGTTTCTTATCGTCAAGCAAGAAGTGGCAAGGACAGCACCTACTCCCACCCAAGGCAGGCTGTTAGGCCTTATCTCCTGCTCATGTCCTCGGGTGGGGCTCACCGCTATCGCTCAACCAAGCCCTGCAAAGTCCATCTACCAAACCTTGTCTTTTCCTCTTCAGTCCTGAAATAGGGCCTAAGGGGTACATGTTCTTTTATCCATTATTAACAGGTACAGATCCAGCCAAAGTTCCAAAAGCTCTGGATAGATCCGAGCAATAATTGGAGCGGGACATTTCAGCCGAGCGCAAGACACCCGCCGCGTTGGAGCTCAGACTCCTGACACCCTCCCACGTGGGTCCCTATTGTTTAGGCTCAGGCTGCCATAACAAAGGCGAGTACAAAAGGCTTTACGGCGTGAAGTTCTGGCCTCAGAGCTGCTCTCCGTCAGACAGCCCCGGCCGAGCTGGCCGTGCGTTTTACAGCGGGGCATCCCACCCCCCAGCAACTCAACAGCACCGGCGTGCGGGACGGGGCCGGCCGGGAGCCCCCCACGGGCAGGCGGGTTCCACTCTGCCTGTGCACGCACACCACAGCCCGGCACGGTCGGCATTCGCCCGCTCTACCTCTTCGTGAAAGATCAGAGAAATACCCAAGATTGTGCTGCCACTGCCAACGGTCACAAAGCTCCAACTCATTTCTGCCAGGGAGAACGCCGCTCTGAACACCCTGCTCCCTCACCTGTTCGTGTGAAATACACTCCCCTTTCTTATCAGCCAAGGCTCAACCCCTTGTCCTCCGTGTGGACTTCTGCAAGCTCAAGCCCGGCTTACAGGGCAAGGCAGGAGGCCTGGCAGTCGTCCCCACCAGCAGAGACCCTGTCACCTAGCTCTACCCACCTGAAAATAAGACACGTTGTCTGTCACAGTCATCTAGATTGCTTCCCGTAATCAAAGGGGAGAGAGAAGTGTATCTTCAGAGGCTGAGCCTGCCCTTTGACATTGACCTCAGGGTGAACTGAATTGCTTTCTCTCCAAGCCCTACCCTCTCTGGATGACAGAGAGAGCAGAGACCACCAGCACAGGCCAGATGCCCAACTCCCTGACGGCCCAAGTTATGTAAGATGAGACATGGCAGAAGCATCTACAGGTGGGCTCACCCCGGGCCCCTTTTAAGCCAGTTCCCGTGGGCAAAGAGAGGTGGCAGCTGGACCCCAGCACATACCGGATCCAGCCTGAGAAGGTGGGGAAATGTTTGGTTGTTGGCTTTTGGTGCTCCACTGTGTAACTGCAGGCTGAATGAGTACTGACAGTACTCTCCAAAATCAAAGCCATTCTGCAGTGCAGGCCACAGCACAAAAACATATCTGCACGCGTGGGAACCCCACGCTTTCGCATATGCCGAGTTTTAATGAATAAGAACTTCTGCAATATCTTTGTCACCATTTCCTAGGACTGAAAACACTGTCCACACTCACAATAAAAATGGAGAAGCAAAAGCTACGTTACAAGCATCTACTTTCAACACATGAAGCAAAAGGAACTTTGAACAGGCACAGCAACGACGTACCGGTGCGAGGAGACATGCTGTCCAGCAGTTTCACCATGCCTTCTCCCTGCACCGCCGTCCACTTCTTGATCGGTGATCCACCTCCAATCCTGCTGTACTGCTCCTGGATTTTCGGTGTGCGGCGTTTGGCAATGAACGGTGCTAATTTACTGAAGCATCCAGAAAGGTACGCGTATTAATACCATAAGCCAACCCACCAGCCCTTTCCCCAAGTCTCTCCGCTGCAGTGGGTACTCCACAGCAATCTCCCCACATCACAGCAAACCAGCATTGCACGGCTTGTTTAATGCTCTACTCCACCACCCTTCCCAAAACTTACTAGATGACAGGAAACCACAGTTTGCAATTAGAAGAGAACGGTCTTGGCATGCCTATTACCAGAGAATGATAACACTGTTTCTTGCACTGACTGGTCTCAAGATGAAACAGTCTTAATAAATGCTGATATACACAGAAGCTAAATGCCCGAGCCTACAGCTAAGACAGCAACACCCAACACCGACTGTAACACAGGTGTTCACAGTATTTCTCACTTTTGAGCTGGAAGCGTCATTAGATCTCTGTCCAGGAAGAGACGCAGTAAGAAATCATGCACATCATCCAGCCGCTCTGGACCTCCCATGTTTAACATCAAGATTCCTGTTTTAGGTTTCCTACGGAAGCAAAAGATATTTCAAATCCTAGTGACTTACTGCTTTATTATTATTATTATTACAAAGCAAACAGCTTATCCTTCTGCGTACGTCTTCTGCAAAAGCAGCATCCTCTTTAGAAGCTCATCCTGCTTATGTAAAAATATGAGCTACGAGCATGAATAACCAGAGAACAGGTATTTACATGATCTTTACTTTTTTTAAAAAACAGTCATCACAACACAGAGCTTAATGGGAAATATACTGAGAAAATTATCTTGCCGCTGAAGGCTGTGAGGGAGGTTATAAAACAGGGCCTAAGGACTATCTCAGCTGAACGCCAGCTGTAGATTCCAACCAAACCAAGCAGCAGCTTCTGCAGAAAACAGACGAGCTACCCACACAGGGCTTTGTCTTCATTACTTCGGAGACCCATCTTATCTCCTGAAGCAGTGAAAGCAGCAATGAGCTGTTCTACACATAACGTAAGTGCAGGGGCGGGTTTGTTTGGGTGGTTGGTTTAGGGTTTTTTCCCCCCAGTGGGATTTCTATCCAGGTGCAGGTCCGGCACGCCGTTCGAAGGACAACGTCCCTCCCAGCACAGCAGAGCGGAGCAGATGGCGGTAGCAGCTTTCCCACAAACGGCTGCTGATCCCAACCCTCACCCAGGAGGTGGATTTCCCCACGGAATCATTTCTTCAGCCCGAGGGAGCCCAGGAACCAGGACCTCCCGCCTCCTGAGCGGACGGAGCCAAGGCTGCACGGGGAGCTTTGCCCTCCTCTTGTTAAAGCCAAAGTCTTACAAAGGGACACCGAGAGGAGGCTAGGCCTGCCCCGACGGGTCGGGACCTCAGTCCCCACTCCCTTCCTCCTGGAGTGTCTAGCAGGAGGTTGCTGAATGAAACCCAGCAAGCGGGAACCAGAACCTCGAATAAGAATATCCTCCTGTTTGATCTGCTCCTGCTCGGCCTCGGGCCTCACCGTGGGCCACCGCCTCACCGCGTCAAACAAGGCAGGCCACCCTCGCCCCACACAACTGAGAAAACAAGAGGCTCGGCGAATGCAGCCAGCCAGATAAAACCAATCACATACGCACCAAAAACCCCCTGGGCCAAGCCCTGTGCCTGCCGCGTTTCCCTACGTACCCAGCTTTGCTGTGCGAGCAAGGCAGCGTGTCGTATCAGAGGGAGGCAGAGGGCAAGGAGAGCCCGTCCCACCCAGCCGGCCCTCACGGCAGACTTACCGCGCTTGCGGCTGGATCTGGGGCTTTGTGCTCTCTGTCACTGCGGCTGCAGTTGCCTGGCCACTCCATCGTACCGGGACCCTCAGCTGATTGCTGCTCTTCACAACTGGAAGAAAGAGAACAGCACGTTGATAACCCAGCCCCGGGCTGAGGGGCCCCTTCACCAGACAGGCAGTAATCCCCCGGCACCTACACGAACACACTTGGCTGTACCGCGCTGCTTGGCATTCCCTCCCTTAAACTCCAGGTCCTGGAATCAAAGGAAGTCACGAAATTGCAGGCTTCCGCCTTTCGTTAAATACTCTGTATACTGAGGCTTTTCAGATACCAGGAAGTTACCTCAAACCAAACAAGAGCCTCGCTGATCTTTAAGCTCCAAGCGTAAGTCCAAAGGAACTGGTGACAACACAAGAGAAACTACACAGGGTTGACACACTGCGGGACAAGTACGCCAAGCTACGTGGCTCCTCACGGCACGGCCGTACCTGGGCTAACTCCACACAGGCAAATTATTCCTACACCAGCTCTGCAACGTAGGTCAGACTTTCATTAATTTAGGCTCCCCGGCAAACGTCAGCAACGTAGGGCAGCACCGGCGAGCCACGAGCACACAGCTGCTTAGTTTGACCCTGCATTGTGTGCACCCAGCAGCAATTTCAGAATCCATTTCCCCAGGGACGTGCGCAGCCTTCTTTCTCACTACCCAGCCAGGCAACTTCTATTATTCCTAGATTTCAGCATCAGCCAAAACCCAGGATACTTCACTTCCCACATGCTGGTTACAGTCTGCTTTTTCAGAAGCTCACTTTGTTTTCCTCAGGAGTTCACAGTCGTTACATGGTATTTTTTAGTGCAACAATAGTGTGAATTGCCCAAGATGAAGAAAAATTGTTAAATCCTGCATCCCTGGCTCTCCAACAATCGTTTGGTGCAACGCTTCCCTCGCCAGACTGCAGGAGTTCGGCAGCAATTGAGCCCCAGTAGCACAGACCTCCTCAGCAGCCGATCCACCCCCTGCGAAGAGCATCTTACGGTTCACAGGTCCCTAATAACATCCTGAACAGATGCTGAACGCCCTCAAAACCTGCTGAAATCAATGACAGTGGAAAGCATCACGCAAGGGCGGCTTCCTACTTGGGATTAAAAGTGTATAGCTGGGGATGCCTGTGTCTGCAGTGGTATAAAAGGCTGCAAACTAAAGAACTTCAATCCAAGCATCGCTGATGCCTGACAGACTCTTCAAATATTTACATTCTTCTTCCAGTTGTAAGGTTATTAATTTTTGAAGCACTGACGCAATGTGTAAATTACATAGGACAATAAAAGGAGGCGTTTCAGTGGCTGTAAATAAATGCTGGAAAGCATTTGTTTTACTTTGGGGGTTGGAACTAGAAGATCTTTAAGGTCCCTTCCAACCCAAACCATTCTGTGATCCTTAAGGTGAGGTTTGGGCCCATTTCTATCTGCACCATAAAGCGCATGACACAGAACGCACAGGGTGTGCGACGATGATGACCCCAGCCTGGCAGAGCATCGGTAAAAGTGTTCTCTTATTAAAAGTTTTAGAAATGGCATTATCGTAGTAGTCTCTGGAGCCAAGGCCTGACAAAGCCAGTCCACTGGTGCCGGGATAAGCAGAGCGGTGCCGCTGGGCAGGTACGCGAGGTTACTCCACCAGTGCCAGGACGGCAGTAACTGGGTAACACGTTTCCGAAGAAAAAGGAAAAGAGCTCCTGCAGAAGGAGCTGACTGCACAGGGTGAGACCTGCAACAGGTACATCTACGCAGGCAGCGTCTGTAACACGCGCCCGCAGCGCTGGGACAGCTCCGAGTCTGACTCGCAGCTAGTTCTTACTCACACCTCCCAGCCTTGTTTTAAAAACACAACCTGCAAATTGTTAAACAAGGATGGTTTTTACAGACACGCCTTCTAAAAAGGAAAGTGCCTCATTTAAAATTAAACTCCTGAAAGAAGGGAAAAAAAAAAAAAAAAACTAAAAAAAAGGAAAAAAAAAAAAGAAAAAAAGCCAAGCAATGACCTACCGAGAGCAGCAAACCTCCCAAGCGCCGCAGCCCTGGCTGCGCTCGGAGGAAAAACCATCCCGGTCCTGCCCGGTGCTTCCCCCGCGGCAGCGACGCGGCTCTGGGAGCCGGGTCTCGGCAGCGCCGCGACCCCCGGGGAACCGGCCCCCGCCCCTGGGCACCGGCCCCGAACCCCGGGGAACCGGCCCCGACCCCCGGGCACCAGCCCCGAACCCCGGGGAACCGGCCCCGAACCTCCCGGCCCCGACCCCGACCCCCGGGCCCTGGCCCCGACCCCCGGGCAGCCGCCCCCCGCGCCCCCGGCCCCGGCGCGCTGCAGCGCGGGTGGCGGGCGGAGGCCCCGGCGCCGCCGGCGCCGTTACGCAAAGGCACCGCACGGGCGTTGTGTAACGCGGTACCAGCGGTACCGGCGCCCCCCCCGGGCCCCGCCGCCCGGTCCCCGGCCCCCCTTCCCCAGCCCGTCGTGTGTCCCCCCCCCCCCGCGCTCCCGCTCCCCCCGGGCCGCGGCCGGCGCCCCCAGACTCACGGCAACGCGCCGCCCGCCCGGCGGCAGCGGCCATCTTGGCGGCGGCCGCCTGCATTCCCTCAGACGGGCCCGGGGCCGCCCCCCGCCCCGCCCCGCCCCGCCCGCCCCCGGGACACCGGGGCCGGGGGCCCGGGGGCTGCCCCGGCCGGCGGGCACCCCCTCGGTTGGCACGGTTAGGCTCGGAGGAAGCCGCGGCGCCCTTAAAAAAAGAGATTTGAAACCTCACCGGGGGGGGAGCTCACCCCCCGCCCCAGAGCTCGGTCAGCCCTGCGGGCACCCCGGCCGCCAGCAGCCCCCACCCGCCGCCTGAAGAGCCTGCCCCCTCCACAGGACATCGACTGACGGGCTCTTCCACCACCCAACGCCTTATTTTGCCTCTAGTGATTCCTCGCTCCTCCAAAGCCCGTCCCCACGCCCTGTCACCCACGTTCGGCCCTTCTCTGCGGACAGCCCTGAAGCTCAGCCCAGGAAAAAAAAAAAAAAAAAAAAAATACACCTAAATCCTTATTCACTGGGACAGGCATGCTTTGGCTCTGCAGACCGTAAACCTTCTCCCAGCGACAGAAGGAACAGGCTTTTCAAAGCCCCCAGGGCGCAGTGGGGGAGCTTGGCAGTAGGGCTGCAGCTGGCAGGCAGGGACGGGCAGTGGCCGTAGGGCGCACATCATTCCCGAGGAGCCTTTCTCGGCTGGAAGCGGGCACCGCGGACCTGGGCTCAGCGCCAGCAGCACCGCTGCCTACCGTTACGGCGCAAGTTGTGGTTCTCCATCCCGGCCGCAGCCCGGCGCGGTTTGGGAACGCCGGGAGTGGAGGGCGGTGGTCTGGTGGGCAGGAGGGGGGAGATGCTGCAGCTCCTGCCCTGCTCCGCGCGCGCTGGGGCTCTCACCGCTGGCCCCAATGCCGCAGTCCTTGCCCCAATTTTTCCACGTTATAAATCTAGACAGGACGTGTGCCCGAGGAGCAGGAGGGCCGGGCAGAGCCCCAGCTCGGGCGGGCCAAGGGCTAAGGGCAGCGCACAGAACAGACTGCGGCGCCGGGGCTCCGGCACAGCACTGAGCTCAAAGCTGCTGGTCACCAGGCTGGAAGGGCCTGGGAGCCAGTGCTGCTGGTCCAGTTCAGCACGTACCAATCCAGCTGTGGAGATACCTTGAGGGAAAACGGAAGGGAGGATGAGGAGAAATCCAAGCTCTGACTGCCCGTTTTATCCTCTTTCGCAGGTTTGTTTACCCCTTCTAATAAAAATAAACCCAAGTATCCTTGTACTCCTAGCAGCTGCAGGGCCTTTCTGAGAGCTATTAGGAACGATCAAGGGATGTAAGCTGTGCAGGAATTCGTGATGGAGCCCGCAGGAGAGCGCGGCTCCCTCTAGTCCCTGGGGTCCTCACCGAGAGACCAACAGGCTGCTTCCCTTCCCCCAGTACCTGACCGGTATTGCCCACACATCCGAAGCACTGGTATTAGTAAGGAGGGCTCAAGCACTGAACTCGGATGGGAGGAACCCAGGAACACTGCTAGCTCAAAGAACATGTGAAGCAGCAAACATGATTAAACAAGCCTGAAGAAGAACTTACCATCAGAAAGCTTTACTGCCGGAGAGCTTGGAAAGGAACTTTCTGGATAGCTGCCAGAAACACCCAGGACCATCATCAGTTTTAAATCACTAGAGATACAATCAAACTCGGCAAATTCTGTAAGAACACAATAAAAACAGAAATAAGATGCCATGCAAAACCACAACTGATGGGACGTGGAAATAAAACCAAGATACATTTATCATTTTTCAATCTCTAAAAGTAATTTTTTTTTTTTCTTAATGATCAAAACCCCGCATTGCTCCTCGATGGTAAATCAGGAACTACACCCCCCCTATTTAACGTAGCCAAGGTCTGTTCTGAAGCAGCATTTCAGCATCACCACGTTCCTGTTGGCTAGGCTCCCGGGGCTGCCTAAGGAACCAGCAGATTTGTGCAGGCTTTCGCTCACTTCGGGGCTCTTTCCCGCGCAGGTGGTTTGCCCAGCACACCCTCTGCTCCACCGGCAGATTACCGGCACACCACTCGCCGTTCAGCTCCACAGCAGCTTTCATCCCTCTCACCTTTTAAGCTCCTTATCTGATCTGCCTCTTCCACGAGCACCTCTCGAGCCCTCAGACCTTCCTCTAGTAGCTCCCCTGATACGGAGCCTTTTAACCTTCACAGAGCAGCTCAGCCCTGCCGGTTTTAAGAACAGAAAACTGATTGCCAACAAGTGATGGTTTTCTAGTAGTATCTCTTCCCAACCTCTCTCCTCCCTTCACATCACTTCAGGTGCTCAGAGGAAATTGTTTTGTAAAAAGTCTTTACATGCTCATAAATTCCTAAATAATCTGAACGACAGAAGCTTCTTGAGCTCCCTTCCCCAAAAAACACTAACAACAAAAAAAATCCCACAAAAACAAAATGCTAAGGGGTGCTATTACTGTTTGGTAGCATGTTCACCTTTGGAGCGGGGTCTTTTCCTGTAGTTCACTGTTAGCAAGTTATTGTGTAAGAAGTAAGAAATTGCTAGCAGTTTGTTTCAGTCAAGCTGGCTAATCTTCCTCCTCTTCCTCTAGCTGATATACTTAACACATATGCAACGACCCCCCAGACCACAGGAATTTACAGTTGACCATACTTTTGCAGGTATTTAAAACAATCTTTTAAGTTCTACAAAGAACAGCCCATCAGGAATGGAGTAGGGCAAGCATGAGAGAACGCCGAGGCACATTACTGTACACGATTTTCTTCTATTGTGGCTACAAAAGGGCTGGGAAAGTAAGTGAAGAGGGTGAGCAAGAAGGAAAACCATCCGAGCACTGCTCACTTCATAGAGCATCCTTCATTCCTCCTCACGCAGCCTCTGCTCCACAGGGGCACCCCCCTCGGGTCACACAGCAATGCCACAGCCGTCCCCGACAACCCCCAAGACATTAAACCCAGATGTTTAGCTCTGGAAATAACCTCACTTCCTCCAACTGTACAGACCTTTACCCTCCTGACAAACCCGGGCTTGCCTTGGGCAGGCACAGCTGGGAGCAGCCAGGAGTCACGGCCGCCTTGGCAACCCACCATTCAGCACCACATTTATTCTCAATTGTTCTCTCCAGGAGGCTTCAAGGGGGTAGCTCAGGCGGTCTACTCAAATGCTAGAAATTTATGCCTTTAAGTTAATTAATGGGGATTTAGTTTAAAAAGAAAAAAGCTGGAGAATGTGTTTACTGCACTTGAAAATTCACTTTTCCTGTGCACAGGTGCTGCCCGTGCCAGGGCAGACTGCGGTAAGGGAACAAGCGAGAAAGTCTAAGGGAAAGGAAAGGAACAGACAGCACAAGTCAAGAACTACCGTCTTGCACACCAGCTTATGTTGCCATAATTTATTGGTTGCTGATTTAGACCAGTTTATATATGTAACATGCAAGATGAACACCACCAGTGATTTATTACAAAAATATGGATATCGCACAGTGTAACAATTCTGTGAAGGGCAAATCCAGAACAAGTCTCTGTGCAGGTACCAAATGATGCACCTACTGATTTTTTTTTTTTTTTTTCCCCTCTCTACTAAAAGGAATTGCTTTATTTATGACTAAAAAGCATACAGATGACTCAACACACTAAATATTTAATTAGTCCTATTTGATAACTTGCTTACAGCCAGAGAATCTGCTCGGATGCAGTAGCACAAGAACACAAGGAGCCAGCCAGGAAACACGGAACTGCCCGACTATGGAACCTACTGTAGGGTGACGGGGGGAAGCACTGCTCCAACTGCACTCCAGCTGGAGAGGCCAGCAACGCAGCCAGCACGCAACGCGACCGCCAACCGCATTTCACGGGTACCCCTTCCTCGGGGTCTTCAGTCATTTCTGGTTTGAAACACGGCAGAATCTTAATTGGAGAGGCACCCCAAGCGTCCCCGTGTCCGCGAGCCGACAGACACGTCCCCTCCTACTGTACCCCAGCACGGGCTGGGGGTGCAGGGACCCGCCGCGGCGCTTGGCCCACAAGGAGCAGCACCCCCCTCACCCGCGGCCTTTCTAACCAATAAATTACCTGGAAAAAACCCAACCAAGCCACGGATCTTGCAGTGGAAGTTCGTGCTCAACACTACATACCTTGCAACTGAGTCAACGCAAACAGAACTTCCATTAAAAACAGTAGGAGCTAAAAGGTTGTAGCACTTAACGTAATTATTCCCATTTTTATACTTCGGTGAGCTCTTTAGATGATGTCTCTTCACAGCATTCTCAGAGGCCAGTATTTGGGAATTTAAAGAGCTTGAACACCTGATTTTTCCAAGAAACCATAAGAGAAAACAGACCGAAATTAAAGCAAATTGAAAAAAAAAAAAAAAAGTCAAACGCCCAGCATATTTTAAGACATAGAAATTAAAAGCAGAAGCATATCTTGTTTTTCAAGTGACAGCTTATCAAGATCTTTGTTTTATGTGGACTTGAGAGCACGAATGTACCTAATGACTTTTTTCTAAGGCTTCTTCCAGTTAATTAGTAGCATTTTCCATTAAAAAAGGGTTTTGTTTATTTTCTTTTTCATGCCCTAAATGAGTATTTGTTTTAGCAACAGGTTGCAGTAAGTCTTGTCCTCAGACAGCTGTAGTATAGCAGAGTGTATCGTTCTTTTCCAGGCCTGAGTTGCTCATTTTCTAGGAGTTTATCAGGAGGACGGCTAAGGTTTGCAGCGCTGGACAAAGCGTGGATAGAGACAGACATCTCGGATGTGGTGTCTGTTCAGGATCCAGGTCAGGAACCGTTCTAATCCCAAACCATAGCCACCGTGAGGGCAGGTACCGTATTTCCTCTGAAATTAAATTCAGAGAGTCGATATTAAACACTTTCTTGTTATTTATATTATAATTGCAGCAATACCACCAGGAAAGAAAACCTAAACCCTTCCAAGATTATTTTCTGACTGATGAGGAAAATGGACTAAACTCTTTTCAGGGAAAATGTTTGTGCTTAGTTATCACTTGTTTCCTGGGGCAGCGTGAGGTCTAAAAGAGGAAAAAGGAAGGTCAGAAAGAAAGTCTTAATCATTCTTTTTCAACCGTTTCCTTTTCTCCTCCCCATAGGCTACCTAGAGCTTCGCCAATCAGGTCTGTGAAGACCCAACCTCTCTTTACCTATCTAACAACAAATGTTGCAGAAGACACCAGAAGCAGAAGACACCCGCGCAGGCCAGCCTAGTGAAGGCGATCTGGTACAGGCAGCATGCAGCTGGAGCAAACAGCAACTCTAACAGAACGGAAACGTGCCCGTTGCATTTTGTCAGTGGTGAAATGGTAACTACTCCGGGCTGCCAGGAACACGTTTCCAATTTAGACTCCATCGTCGTAAGAGCAGTTAAAAAAAAAAATCCATAGCCAAGTGTCCTAGCTGGCAGGCAACACACGCCATCTGTTTTACAAACCTGATCAGTGTACCAGTAGTACGGCGTGGGATCAATGCCCTCTCTCTTATAGCCTTCGAGTAGCTCCTCGCTGTCCCAGATACGCATGGAGCCTCCAACAATTTCACCAACGTTAGGCATCAACACATCAACCTACAACACACAACGTAAGGAAAAACGGCCCAAGCTTAAAACTTTTCCCATGTCATTTTGATTCTCTGTGACCAGAAGGCAGGCAATTCCTTCCAGACCCAATTTACAGGTGGAATAAACTAACTAAGTTCTCTAACCTAATGCTCTTGGCCCAACTAAACTGTTAAAAAAAAAAAAAAAATAATAAACCCAACACAACCCACAAAAAACACACCAAAAAAAAACCACAAAACCAAACAAAAACAGAAAAACAAAAACCACACCACAAAACCACAAACCCAGCAGCATTCCTACCAACCAACCACTCTTCCCAGCTGCCAGACAGCTTGTGCTTAGACAATAGAGGCTCCAGGAAGGGACAGAATTACTGTCGCTGGGCTGGCACACACCTGAGGTCAGCGAAGAGCACGCTCGCTATGAGCCACCCACATTTTATTAGCACTTCGGAGTTGCTTCATTTATTTCTACAAGATCAACAAGCCATGCCAAGAGACACCCAAAACAAAAGCTGGTCAGGAAGATCTTGGAGAATTCTGGAGTACTTGTGCACTTCACACTCACTCCCGCGGACATTCCCCACTCGGTTGAGAAGCCTCCACCACTACGTAACACAGCAACTTACGGATTCCGTAAGCCGGGAATCCTCATGGCAGCGCTGCATGTAGAAAGACTTTATCTCTGCAGGAAATCGGCACAACAAGATTGGCTCATTAATGGTGTCTGTCATCAATCTCTCCGGAGCTTCAGGAATATCCTACGGTTAAAGAAGGCTTTAGTAATATTGAAAACCAAAACTGCTCCGATACTTTGGGCCCCACAAGTATCAGGCATGAAACAAAGACAGTTGCAGACCACACATACCCACACACTCATCCCCACGCACCTAAATTTTTAAAACAAACTTATCTTAGAAAATATATATAAAAACACACGTCAGGGGAAAGAAAATCTGTTCAATTAAAAATCCCAGTCTTGCCAATGTTTCAGACAGAAAACTGAAGAAAACCTAACCTGTAGACTTTCCAAACAGACAGTAAACACTGAAGATCCTGATCTCCTTCCTCCCCAATACTGTCTTCTACAAACCTCAAGACTAAGAAGCATAAACATTTCCCTCAAGAAGAGCCCAAATACATTACAAACCCCTCAACTGCTCAGTTAAATGAAAACCAAATAACCTTGTTTATGTAAGCTTTCTGACTGAAATTTGATAAACTGTGAAACACCTAGCAGAAGTTTCAGTTTGGTCAATTCAGCAATTTTACTGTTTAAAAACCAGGGGGAAGTGAAGGACGACACCACAGTTCCACTGACAGACAGGGACCACGGACAGGATCATGGCTTGTCAAACAAACACTTTGTTTAGTCAAACTCCATCTATCCCTAGAAGGTTTAATTTTAACTTTTATTCAGCTAATGGTACCACTCTTCTCATAGATTCCGAGTTGGAATTTGGAAGACTAGATTCTTCTTTAACAGGGAAACAGCCACAGCGGTTGCTCGACCGAATGCAAGCGACCTCCGCGCTACAGCACGGACACGGTGGAGGGGCAGGAGGAGCAGCACAGACCTCGCGCCGGGGCAGCTCCCACAGCCAGTGTCCGTGGGGCACAGGAGGCAGGAACCCCTCTTTCCCTCCAGAACCTTGAGTTCAGTGCTATTTGAAGGCCTTTCTCTCCATCTCGAACATCTTTGATACAGATGGGAGAGCAAAAACCCCAACAGATCCAATTTTGAGCTGCCAAGGTTCCCTCAGAAGATGCTGGGCAGACTCTGAAGTCTATACAATTGTATGACAATGAACAATTATATGATCTCCTCCTAAAAATCTCACTTCTCTTAAATCCTTTGATGAAGTGGGCTACACCAGCAAATCCTCTTGACCTCCTTCAAATAATTTTGCCTTATTGGCTGGAGAAGAGTGAGACAGGGAACAGATGGACAGACGACGACACGGACTTCGATTCCAATGTTCAAAGGCATTATATGAAGACCCAACCCATGCTTGCATTCCCCACTATAACACTACTACACCTCCCGGCACAGTCCGGACAAAAATCCAGGCCTCACTGAAGCTTACAGCAAAACTCTAACTTCATTAGGACTAGGATGTCACTCCTTATCGGTATCACTCTGAACAAAACACAACAGATTCGCACAGCAACAGTAAGCCCAACAGCACCGTGGTCCAAACACACTGTTCTTCAAGGAACTTACACACCCTGAGTGCAGGGCAGTGGGATTTTCTGTGGTTTTAATTCCTAAGGAGCCTCAGAAAGACTTACTTCCCCAAACTCATAGTAAGTACCATCTTCCTTCTTCACATCATGTTCCTTTAACCACTCAATGGCTTCGGTGTAGTTCATTCGTCGGAAAGGACGTTTCGGGGGCTTGAAGCCCTGTAAATAAGAGCAGACATGAAGACAGGTGGAAGAGTACCATTTTTAAAGAAGAATACTTTTCTAGCTGATCAGCAAGTCCACTTCCAGACCTGAAGCATACACGTCGCTCTTTTTGGCTCACAACATCAGCAAGTTGTTATTTAATTAACCAATCAAGCTCAGTGCTGAAAAGCTAAAACCAAACACAACCATCTTCCAAGCCCAGTAAAGCCCACAGAACAGGTGCTGAAAAAGGTGGCAGGAGAGAGAAGAGAGGAAGTATTTTCCAAGCCGTTTCCTGTTCTGCACAAATTCATTGCATGGGCTGGCGTTTCAAACCAGGCCATTAGCACAGGTTCCATGGGCAAGGCCACAAAAGAACGTTTGGGCTTCCCTGCACATAGAACAGCTTCAGCACCTGTCTTTGTGAGGGGGGGTTTGCTTCTATTTCCTACCTCCCGACCCCTGTCTCGGCCCAAATTGAAACCTGAACCTCCCAATGTTTATCAGGAAAACAGGTCAAAACAACAGGGAAATGAGTTTGATGTGCTCTGAGAGAAAAGCTAGTGATGAAGATAAAGTTAGCAGGCTCTTAAAGCCATCTTCTTTGCAAAGGCAACAGAAGACAAAGGGTCTGTAACAAATGAAAATAGCTTTAGAGCTCCACGTTCCAGGGTGGAAAGTAAAACACCAGTTGTTTCATTGCTCCCTTGTGCTCAATCTGCAAGTACCAGTCGATCAATATTACGAGCTCTGGGATAGAGGTTTTTATTCCACTGGTACAGCACACGCTGCAATAAATCCCAGCACATTGCTAGCAGGGAACTTCTTCCCCCCCCAATCCCCTGCTCCTGGAAGAGTCATTACCAGCCTTGCAGCATTTTCATTCTTTTGATGTTATTTAATATTCTTAACAATAAACTAGCAGAGCTCACTGCCGCGCCCTGCCTTCCCCAAATAAATGTGCTCATCAGGCAAGGCTAAAGATGGTATTTTCTTGGCTATTTGTGACTGTTCCGCATTGCTGCCTACCGGGTTTAGGTCATACAATAAGCTCGATGCAGGTGATTTCAAGACTCTGTCTACGACATCACAAACCAAGTTCTCCAGACGGTCCAATAAATCCTCAAAACTTATAAAAGGACATTCAGCTTCAATGTGAGTGTATCTGAAACACAAAGTCACACCATTACAAAACCACACCCAAGCAACAAATCTTTAGCCATGAGAAAAATTTTCATGGAAAAACAAACAAACAAACAAACAAAAAACCCGCAACCCCAAACCACACACTTCTGTCCCCTTTGGACATAAAGCCATAGAAAAAAAAAGGAAGACAACATTATGAACTGTATTTTTGAAATAGACATTCCTAAGAATGTATCAGCTCTGTTTCACCCAGATCTTCCTTCACTAATTGCCAACCTATTAGGACCAGCTGGACATTCACCAAGACAAGGTATTACCCCCAAACAGACTTGTGCTCAGTCCTTCCACATTAGCCTTAAGCTGTCTGCCGACTGTACATTATGTCACCCAACTGCCTGCTACTTTACAAATTCACTTGTACATAAATAGCACGGAAGTATACTCTCTCCATACTCTGCCAAGTGTCTGCGGGTCCTGGATTGCTCAGCTCTGTACGACTGAGCAACACAGAAAACATCGCCCAGTGCTGGAATGCAGGTCTCCAGATAGAGCTGGGATGACTGGGTTAAGTACGCCTCTTCACCAAAATAATCCAGTTTGAACAGGGTTGAGCCTCCTTCCACCTGTGTCTGGACTAAAGTCGGTGGCGTGACCTGTTAAAGAACAGGACTGTCATTACTTGAGCGAAGAATTAAGGACAGAGGTGAGAACACCCAAGAGCAGTGCTGCAAGGCACGCTCCTCCAGACTCCCACCTACAAAGCTTTTGTACGTGCACACGCAAGTCCTTCAGTCTGATACCCCTCAGCACGTTAAAGAGGTACCCAGGCTGTTTGTGAGCCACGCTGTAACACTTCCACACCTCCAAAGTGTCTACACACCTCTGAGATCTCTGTCCACGAAAGCGACAGAGTAACAGTTTCCTTAGAAACAGCTTTTCTTTTGTTTGTTTCAGGTCAATTAGAAATTCTACACCCAGCTTCTCCAAGAAAAAGGCAGCCTTGAAGTCAGGACATTAAAGTAGTCACTTGCTGCCAAGGGAAATCATACTTACTTCATAATATCCATTGGCAAAGAAATGATCCCTGAAGGCCTGTACTACCATGGAGCGCACCTTGAAGATTTTGGACATATTCTCGCCTCGAATCATCATATGCCTGTTGTTAAGTTGCACATCGACCTCTGAATCCTCATTGAGTAGATTGTCAGCCCCTCCTGCCGGGGCCAGACCAATAAGCTCCCAGTAATCACAGTTCAGCTCGTGGCCTCCTGGAGCCTGCCAATTTGAAGAGAAATAAAAACTTCCAAAGTCTGCCTTTTGCCTCGTGGATGTGACCATCAGGCATCGTGGCAGAGATGTTAATCCAGTTTAAACAAAAGATGCTAAAATCCTAATTGCAGTATTTTCAAAGTAACTGTTTTGTAGCTCATCCTACCGCACTTGGAAGTGCCATCTATAACCCACCATGAGTCTCTCAGCCTCAACCCGAATGGGATTGAGCACTACACTCAACGTGACAACACGTCTGGACAAGAGCCCTGGCAGCCTCACCTCACAAGAGATCTTCAAGAGGGTGGATCAGCTGACCTTCAGAGGTTCCTCCCGACCAAAGCCATTCTGTGGTAACTTACAGTGTGTGCTAGTTTTGACTGGGATAGAGTTAATTTTCTCCATAGTAGTTTGTACGGTGCGACAACACACCACAGCGGCACAAGGAACCTCCCCGTATGCCTCAAGGACATTACACACACACCCCCAGTGAAGGGTCCTCCCACTATCTACTAGAAGAAAAGGCAGACCCAAGACTGCAGGGCGACATCCAAGGTATTTTCTTCTTTGTACTACTCGAGCCACACTCTCCTACTGGATGGCAAACTTCAAAAAAGCTGAAAAAGCTTGCTTAGATGACGACAGAGGAAGAGCTAGCTCACTGTGGGGACTTCTGGGTTTGTCTGTCAGAGACCCCTGGGCATCCTCCCTGCAGCAGGCAGCATCTCACCACAAAGGTGACAACACAAGCTTCACACTGGCTGATCCCCGTGCTGTCCCCACGCCAGAGGCTACCAACAGACCTCCTCCTCCCCCTCCTCCTCCTCCTCCTCGCTGGCCTCACCAGCTCCCCCGTGTGGCTCACAGGACGCTTCTGTCCCCTAAAATGGTTTGGGTTTTTTTCAGTCACAGTATTTTCAGGGTATAAATGCCGGTTTTCAAAGACTAGTCAACAGATTTTTATTTTTTTTTTTTGACAAATCTGGTGGTTTTGTTCACTAAAAGCATTGCTTCGTTGTGATGAGACATGAAAACATGAAGTGTTTTCAATGTCTGAAACATTCTGAGCACTAGCATACTATGAGTTACTTATGATTACCAGACTGCATAAAGTTGTTTAAAAAAAAGCAATCCCTGCTTGGCTGCACTTATTTTTAGAAGTCCCAGTAGTGCAAGCTGTGAAGGAAAGGAAATCTTGCTAACTTCTGATGGCAAACACAACAGGGAGCGGGCTCACATTTAAGCGGGTTTGGCTCTTTAACCTTAGGTCAGTCTCTTGGGGCCAGGACCCGAGTGGCAGGGACAACCAGAACAATTAAGCCTAACAGAATTTCATTTGCAAAACGTGCCAGTAATGGCCAGCAGTTCATGGCTTACAAGACAACCGAGTTATCCACAAAGCACCACAAAAGGTTAACACTTTGACCTTATTTTGCACACTACAAGGCAGCCACAGTGAGGGACTACTTCACTCAAATATTATCTAATACAACTTGGAAACACTGTTTGAAGCAATGTAAGACTCCAAAATGTGATTTATTCTTTTTTTCAGGCATGTTTCTTCTTCCTACGGTCCTACTAGAGTTAGTACACTTACTCAAAAGACCAGACAGTAGAATACAGATTGCCAAGCCACACAAAAGAAGAACTCTCACTGCAAGAACTGATGGCAATTTGGAGTATTTATCTAAAGGAAGAGGCAAATTTATAGACTATCAAGATTAAACATACATCTAGCCTCCAAATCTCAACATCACTGCTTTTTTTTTTTTTCTGAAGGAGAAAGAAAAAGACACTAATATAAGCCGCTATCAAGAGCCCATGTCTTAAAAAGGACTAAGACTTAAAAAGAACAAACACAGCCCGAGCTTGCTTGTTGTTTCTGCACCACAAATTAAGCTCTGCAACGCAGACTTTTTGCAACAACAACTTATTTGTGTCTCAGTCACCTCTTAGTAACTAAGATAGGAGTCTTACAATAACTTTCAGTAAATATCCTGCTATAGGCCTGCGTGCCCTGACGAGTGCACTGAGTTGCTGTCACAGACAATGGTTCCTAAAAGCTTCTCTCCTGCCTCCAGTCTGAATCCTTCCTAGGGGCCATCTGTCACGCACAGCTGCTTAACACAGCTTTAGTCCTAACTCCAGTCAAATGATTTTCTGAACAGTAACAGTGTGTAGATCTAGACTGGAACGAGAGAGGCACAAGGCATAAGCAGCATCGTCTTTTCAAGACCTAAAATCACACCTGCCCAGTCATTAATCCTAGACTACCACTGTAAACAAAGTTGTACAAAACAAGTTACAGTAAAGTGCCTCGTCTGTACACCCACCAAGTGCTGGAGGACAAATACAACATGGTGGAGAGCCTACGAACCCATCTCAGGGAAAGCAGAGAGCTAATCCCCAATTCTTAGCCTCACAAAGCAAGAGCTGAATAAACCTCTTGTTCAGGAAAATAAGGCTATGCCATCCTTTTAACATATCATTCCACTGTTACATTCTAGGAAATATCTATGGGACAGATCAGTGGAAAATTGTCTCAGGCAAAAGCAGAACAGTCACACACTGAACTGTGGGTGACAGCAGCGGGTTTGATCTTTTCTCTAAACCAAATTCCCACCAAAATCATCTAATAATTATTTTCACCTCTGCTTCTTCTTCCATCAGGAAAATGATAAACCGTTAAAGAGGAGGAGAGCCCAAACACATTAAGTCCTGTACCTGCTTGCCTGCAGGAACAAGGTTCAGCGTACCATACACTGCCACACTGCTCTCTGTAGAGAGAATTAGCCCGTTGTAACACTGACACTGCAGAGAGAAAAAACAAAGGCAGAGTTAAGGTACGTTTTTATTTTTGCTTTTCCTATGACACCTACTGGAGTCACAGACAAGATTAACTCATAGTCACTTCTAAACAGTTCTCACATTGACAAAAAACCACTAGTGGTAGGAGATACAATTTAACAATAATACAATTTAAACAGTAGGTTTAGGAGAACTTCCAGTGATCTATATAAAAGAAAAATGGACGAGATAGGAACAGTTCACTTATTTAACAACAGAACAGAATGAAATCATCACGACTTACCAGTTCATCTGAAAGGACACACTGAAGAAAACCCGTGCCATCTCTCAGAACAATGAACATCAAATTTTTCCCTAGTTAAAAAGAAAAAAAAAAAACAAAACAGAGAGACTCAGCTTTATTCACTGCTCCATTTGAACAGACCCACTCCCAAGACCTATTAATCACTGATGTGCAGATTATTACAGAAGGACTACGATCCCACTCTTCCTAAAAACCAAAGATGCTCCAGGTAAGCACTGAAGCATCAGCACAGTTATAGAAGCCTTTCACACAGCTGTATTTTGTATAACAAGTTAAAATAAGTTTCAACAGACATCAAGAGCAAAGCCTGCTCCAACCTCAACCAGGCTGGCACTGCACCGCCGTGCCACGGCCTCAGATGTCCGGAGGGACTACAAGTCTCTTTGCAGAAACGCTGCGCACACAGGCCCAAGGTTCACCTAACAGGGATACAGTGATGTCACCCCCCTCTCCACAAAAGCATAGGATTACAAAAATAATTTGCTACAAACTTCTCACTACATCCAGACCCACAAGCAGTTCGTCAGGTCATTCAGTGATAATCAGAACAAATTCCTGTGGGGTCAGAACTCTCTGCCATGCGCTTCCATGCGCCGACCGAGGAACAACACTCATTGTGATAGCAAGTAATGCTTGCTAAACTTATTGTAAAAGAAGTTATGCTTCTTTATAGAACCTTAAAATTCCAATTTGCTGATTCCACTATGAGCAGATGCTAGTTAGCTCCTTGGTTTGCAGGACTAGTTTAAAACAGAAAACAAGACTTTTGAAGTTCTGCAGGACTGGCCTCCAAACTGAAAATCCCATTAAGCCTTCGACTAAGGAACATCTATATGCTCATACATCATGCAGAGTTTCCAGTGTTGTAGTGACCACTGTGATAAATCAAAGAGGGCATCTAGCTGATGGTTTAAAAATGTAACAGTAGGTGCCGTCTGATTCACTCTAAGTGCCCCAGGTTTGAAGGCTACTGTAATTTGCTCCATCTCTCTGTACAGGTTCAGTTACTTCTAAATGCTTGCGGTTTACCTTGCCTCCGTAATCGGTGAATCCAGCCAAAAATCTTCACTCTCTGGCCCCTGTAAGCCTCCAGCGCATCGATCTTTACCTGTAAAGCAGGGAACAGAAGCCATCAAACGGAGAAATGATTCACCATTTAGGTGGTGTTTTCCACATAATTACTTAGAAGCGTAGGTGCCGTCTCCCTGCCCCCGCGGCTCCTCCCAGCAGCGCCCGAGGCGAGGTTCTGCCCCGCGTGCGGGCGCAGCTGCTGGGCAACAGCTCTTCAACAACCACCTTCTACACATGGACGGAAAGACCTCTTCTACACGGGCTCTACCCAAAAACCCCTCCCAGAGCAGCTCACACAGTATCTGCTGACTAAACTAAGGACTGCATCAAGTCACCAAATCCAGCGGGACTCTACAAACAGCCAAGTAAGAACTGCGTTCCATGTCTCAGCAACTCGAATTGCATCCTCTAAGCAGCACTGTTTCTTCCCTCTCCACCACTACATTAATCAAACAAAGCAGAACTGATCAACTTTTTTAAACAGAAACATGGTCTCTATCAGCAAACAAACACAGAGAGAAGTCTGATACGTGAACTAAGAAGGTGCAGATACCCCTCAAGCACATGAGAAAGACCAAAGTCTCTCCACTTGAGGACCCAGAAAATCAGAAAACCAAAGCTACATTTATGAACAGGAGGAAGGGAGCGGCCTTCCCCAGCTGCCAGAGCCACAAAGCAGAGACAGTGCACCTCTGCAGAGCAGACGCTGGGCCACAGGCCGTGTGCCAAGCGCACTGGGTCGTACTCACGCGTTTCGGCTCGGGAAGGCTGGGATCATTCTTGATAACAACCTTCTTGGCTTCCTCCAGGTTCTTCTCTCTTCTCAAGAGATCTTCTGCCTGGTTTTAAAAAAAAAAAAAAAAAAAAAAAAAAGCTGTAACCAGGCTTTGTAAGATTCCCATTCTTTACAATCACGGGAGACCCTAATGTACGCTTGCAGACAGAGAAGTCACAAAAAGCCCTGATGCTGCCCTGCTGGGCCCTCAACCTGCCCTAATTCAAGGCCAGGATGAGAAACAGTGCACAGATGCATTTCTCATCTTCTTCTCGAAAGTCTAAAGGCGATGGATTGCAACTATTCAACAGTCAGGCCAAGTTTCATCCATTCGTTTGTCCTAATCTAAACAAAGGCAAGTTGTAAATAACGTACGTGTAAAATAATGACACAGATGAAGAACAAGCTGAAGCTTTTTTGGAGGGTCAGGAATGACAACAGCATCACTTAATGTTTTTGGAAAAGAGAGCTGGCATGCTTCCTCCAGCCCAGCATCATCTGCTACCTACCTCCTTCTTCTCCTTAGCTTCATTCTTCATCTGTTCCCTGTGCCAGAGTTTTTTGACATTTTTCATCTGCGACTTTGAAATAATGGCCCATCTCTAAATCAATCCAGGGAGAGAGCACAAGTTAAAAGACTACATTTGTGTCCCTTCACTCAAAGAAGCATTAAAATAATTTCTACTAGGAAGCTCTAATGCTACAGCACCTCGTTTTCTTTTTGGGAATCCACATAAATAGTAGGAAATGGTTCCTTTCCTGCTGTCATCAAAGCCTAGAAAAGGGGAGAAAATAACAGAATCAGTGGCACTGCAAGTGAACTAAAGATGAGCAGACATCCTACTTCTGATCCTTCCAGTCAGAGTTGTAAAAACAGGTCTAAAAATTTAGAAATAAAAGGCCAATCACTCGACCTGAAGCGCGGTTCACACTCTTCAGAACAAACAGGAGGTGCTTTCCAGAGTTACCTTTAAAACAGTCTTGAACGGCTTCTTCTGGGTCCCATCACCAGTGGAATCATTGCCCTCCCGTTCAGAAACATACAGCTCTTCTGCAATACATGGCAAATACAGGCAATTACTCAAAAAAAAAAAAATTATCAGCAGTGGAAACGGTCAGGAAGAAACTGGACGCACAGAAAGACAAAGTCCTCACGGTTCTCAGCAGTGACAAACGTTCAGGAACAACCGGCCGGTCAAACAGGGTCAGAGTTAAACAGCATTTTCCATTCTAAACGTGACCCCCGGCAGGAAGTGCGTCGCGCTAAGGCCCGCGGGACGCCGAGCCCGCCGCAGCCCCCGGCCGCGCGCCGCCCCGGCGGAACCCGCTCCTGGGCGCGGAGCGGAGCCGGCGGCCTCGGCGCCCCCGGGCCACGGAGCAGAGCGCGCAGGCTGCCGCCCCCCGCCCGCCGCCCCCCGGAGCGCCCGCCGCCTTCGCGGAGCCCCGCGGAGCCCGCCCGCCCGCCGGGCCTCACCCAGGCCGAGCGCCGCCGTCCTGCCCAGCACCTCCGCCGCCATGGCCGCCGCCCGCCGGAAGTGGCGCCGCCGCGCTTCCGCCGCCCTCGGCCAACCCGCCGCCGCCTTGCGTCAGCCGCCCCCGCCCCCCGCGGCTCCGATAGGCGGGGCGGGGGAACGGCCCCGCCCCCGCGCCTGCCGCCGGGCGCGGCGGTGGCGTCACTGGCGCGGCGGTGGCGTCACGCGGGCGCGGCTGTGGCGTCACTGGCGCGGCGGTGACGCCAGAAGCGGCGTGTCCCGGGGAGGCGGAGCAGCGGCCCAGGGTGGGTGTCCGGCCAGGAGGCCGCAGGCACAAGGGGCGCACGCGTTCGCATCCGTTTCTGTGTTTAACATGTTACCGTTACACTTGGGTTTTGAGTCCGACGCATGGCGGGGGGTAGATTTTTTTTTTTTTTTTTGAAGACCAACCCCACTTCTCTCACTGACAGATCAATTATCTCCTCTCACACACTTCTGTTCTTGCCCATGCACTCGTTAGAAGAAAAGCTGTAAATTCTAAAATTCTAAGGTATTTATTTGCCTTAAATTTTTGACATGTACATTCCATTAAACAAAAGCATCGTGAGTTTTACTATAAAACCATTTCAGTAATCATTGAAGGGAAACATTCATACATCTCAACTTGAAGAGTACGTGCAAATGTAAGCAGCCTCTCATAAAAACACTTTTTGCATTGTAAGAATCAACTCCCTAGCAAGTGAAACTGGTTTCTGGTTACCCGTTATTACGGATCGGATCTGAACCGAACAAACACTTGCCAGCTCAGAGGGCAGCTGTCCAGAGATCAGATCTGTCTGCTCATAAATACACTGTGTAAGTAGACACAAACACGTGCTGGAGTTGGAAGGCGGGACAGGCAGAGAAACGAAGAGCAAGTGAGAAAAAAAACCCTCAACTAGTGACTCGTATCTCTTTATTCCAGGGGAAAGGAGGTGATGGGGTGGGGAAGGAAGAACGGCATATCGCTCACAATGATCAGGTGCAAAGAGCAGTCCCTCGGCCGAGGGCAGCAAGCTGTAGGCAACTGGCGAAGAAAGGACCAGAAACCACATCAATGTCAGAATTCCTACTGAAGTCTGACACTGACTAAAATTTATCAGCAGATACATCTTACTCTCAGCTGCACAAGCTCAGGTGAGAGTATCTAGGGCTCTCTCAAAAGACCGGCCAGCTGATTTGCCATTAGGACTGTGCAATTTCACGAAATGGCGTGCTTAAGGGAACTGCTACTTAGCAGTTTCCTTTCAAAGACAAAATATGAAATGTAGCTGCAGTTTCATACCAACATATTATTAAAATGTGAAAAAAGGTTGCAATTCCAGGCATCGCTAAAAAAACCAAAAATATTACAAGGCTGGGTTTTCATACCCTAACACACATATCCTTCATTTTCACATTAAACAGAAATCAGGTGCACAAGGATGAGTAGCTCTGTAGGGAACTCTTGGCCTTTCTATGTTTGCAGTAGTCCAAACCCAGGAAGTTCTGTCACAAACCAAAAATCTTCACATCCTTCTGCCATTTGGTTAGAAAAATATCCTGAGTTTCTTCAAAAGAAATCCTCCTGCGTGCAGCCGTCGGGATAAAAAGCTTCTCCCCAAAATGCAGTGAGTCAGCTTGTGTCACGAGCACCTCTGCCTTGTGTCACGCCGCTGCCCAGCACGGCGTCCAGGGGACCCCGCCTCTTCCGCAGGCTGCGGCCCGAAGCGATCAGGTCGGCATAGCCCCGCTGGTGGGAGAAAGCGTAAGCAGAGCGGCGGCCAGATATCCCGCGGCGAAAAGCGCTCTGCCTTCGCTTCCACTGCTGCTCTTCCGCCAGGTATTGCTTACGGTTCTTCTGGATCTTCGTGCATGCAAAGACAGGTTAGATCATGGACTACAAGGGCAAACAGCTCGTACTGTCTGGGGAAATAACCCAGTGCTTTTTTAACACCCTTAAACTGCTTAACGGGAGGGTTCTCTTGTTGACATTTGACTTTGTTAGAAAGACGAATATATGCAGTAACACATCACCGCTTCAGAAAGACTTACTGTATTTATTTTGAACTTCGTGACTTCCACTTATCTTTAAAAGTCTTTCACTGAAGCGGATCGAAGATCTGTAACTGCAAGCTGTTCCCACGTTCCCGTGCCAACACTCCTCTGCTATCTTTTTAAACAGCGCTACTGCAATGTCAACTATTTTCATACCCACGTGCTATTCGCCAGCTCAAAGCAGAACAGAAGTGAACAAAACCTGTCCACGCTACTCTGACACATAACAACGGAACTCCGACACAGCCCAAATAAAACCAGGAGTGAAGCCACCAGGAGCTTCAGAGCGGGTTTCTGTGGTTTGACAGAGCCAAGTGCCCAGGCAAGGCAAACGATGAATTAGCCCGCGCTGACCTGCGTGCTGAGCTTGTGCACGTAGCTCTGCACCCCACAGAAACACGCACGGGAGGCCCTCGGAAGTACGAGCACGGCAAAGCGAGGCTCTGCCGCAGCAGCAGTGGTGGCCCAGCGGGAAGGCAGCCTGGCCCTGGCCTGTGGGGAGCCCTGCTGCCACGCTCCCTGGCCGCCGGCCCGAGCGCCAGCCTCCCGCAGCCGTCCCCGGGGCACTCGTCTCCAGTAGCAACACCAGCACTGGCTCCCGTAAGCAAATCCGTGCCAAAGTCACTGAAATTACGTAAGACTTCACTCACCCTGTCACTTTCCGAAGGCCAGATTGTCATTGACAAGAAGTGCCACGCCACTACAGGAAGTAAGCAGATAGCGATTGATAAAATCATGGTCAGCCAGAGGTACGGTTGTCTCAGAGCATTTGGAGCAGTTCCTAGGAATAAAAAGAGCAAAAATCAGTTTATGACGCAATCAAGTAAACTTGCTATAAACCACAAATAAGACAGTAAAGGGCACAGCTTCCTTCCTGAAGACCTAACGTTCAGGTACTCTGTTGTGCATCACAGCATCGAGCTTTTATTCAGAGACTCTACTTATTTATTCAGAGCATAATAGGAAAGATCTTGATAAAGCACTTTTATTACAACGTATCCACATTCATGTCAAAGCCCTTTTGGGAGTTGCGGGGGGCTGCAAGACAAACGCTCGGCTGAGATGCATGGCTTTTGTCCTGCTTTAAAGCACATGAAGCAAGAAAAACTCCTCCCAGTATCACTGGTAGGCATGTGGTCTAGAAAGCAAGCCATATTTAGTAGCCAAACACACAATCTCGTGGAAGTTATAAAAGAAGTCTAAAACATTACTGAAGGTCAAAGATAAACATTGTATTAGAGGCAACTACCTTTTTTCAACTGGGTTCCGCTTAAAAATGAGAACATGAAATTGAGGGGGTTTCTTATTTGGGGGGAGATATTTAGCTCCAATGCAATGTAGGGAAGATTTGTCACTAGAAAATTAGGAAGCACAGTTTTCCCTCAGAAACAAATTTCCAGCTGGCTGCTGCTTACAGCTCCCTGGACTTCCAGCAAAATCCCAAGGAGCTGCCAACAGCATTTGGCTCTGTCTTACTTTGGAGTTTTACCTTCCACCGATCAGTTAGAGCAATTTGGCAAAGGCATACCCTGCCAGATTATTGCATTCCCTTTACTTCAAGCTGCCCCACCAATTTTAACTTGGTTTTCATTTGCTGACTCCCTACTGCTGGGCAACATCAAGTTCCAGATCATTTTCATTGAGAGAAAAGAAATACTCCCAATAAAGTAACCTGTCCCCAAACATAAACAAAACTCTTCCTCGGAAGCGAATTAGTATTTAACATCATTTCCTTTCACAGGCATCAGGTTCATGAGATGGCATTTTGGCCAAAGTTCTGCTCAAGTTACAAAACCGTGGGAGACAGGAACGAGAAACACGAAACACAAAGACTGACCTGTGAACTGAAAGCCAGAAGGAAAGAGAACATGGATTCCAGCACTGTGGAAGTCAAATGTGATACCAAAGTAAAGTGCAATACTCCCAAATACTGAAAAAGCATTAACAAAAGTCCAGTAAGATGTATCCAAGCCAATCTGAAAGCAAACAAAAGCCCCAAGTGAGTTTATTAATTCAAAATAACGTCAACTACTCTGAGGACCGACAGCATTTTGGGGGAAGCATCTCTCACCCAGTCACAAGTCAGTCAGAGAGAGCACCGACAGAGAGGAGAGACAGCAAAAAAGGGAAGCTTTTTGCATATTGTTATGTTTTCAGTAGACAAATTCAGAAACATGACCAGAAAGTGTTTTCAGAGCAACAGGGATCAGGAAGCTAAGCTTACTTGCCTGAAAATTGACGACAAATATAAGAGAAGATGCTGCTGTGACAGCAAATGACTGATAATCTGAAGGTGCTTCTCCATCTTGTCCCATAGTTTTAAGGTAAGCTCCATATGGTATGAAGAAGATTATCAATGAAGTTATAGCTCCATGAAGCAAACTTAAAAAGAATTTCTCGTAGTTAAAAAGTAAATCTTTCTGTCCCAAAACATACAGTCTAGGGAACCGAAGACTCAGTTTGTCACTCACGTCCTTAGTAAAAAGGGAAGATAAAAAAAAAAAAAAAAAGTTGCTGCAATTTCTTGTTCTCAGTGTGAGCTTTGAAGAGTAAGAAGCTCAACTATACAGTGCCCCAAAGGAAATGGCAGACTTCTTTTCCTTTTCAAATAGCAGTGTGGGCAGCAGGACCTGGCAGAGAGTAATGCATGCAACTGGGAGGAACCAAGTCTGGAGCATATCTTTCAGAGCTATCACATATCCCGCTTCCAGGCTTCCAGATTTTTAGCCCATTATTTGCCAAGACAAGAATGTCTGCACGTGCAGCTCTTTACAGCTGTGTATTGTGTTGGAGGCCTTCCACTGCACGTCCTGACTTGAACAAATACTCGAGTGAAATCTTCATTTGGTACTGAATGCATTTCTTAGCTTTTATCAAAAAAGCAAGCAGAACCATGGGTTTGCCTAATCAGCAGGTAAGCCTTGTACGGAAAAACAAGTGGAGAGGGCCAAAAGCACTTCTCCCGCTGAATTAAAACAAATGCTAC